GGTCGGCTGCTCCAGTGGTCTCAGGGGGTTCAGTCCATGGTCGGCTGCTCCAGTGGTCTCACATGTGCATGATCAGCCAGACACACCCAGGAGTGTGCTCCCCTCATGGCCTGTCCCCTCTCAGCATGGTGAAGGTAATACTCTTCCTCCAATTTTTCCCCACCCCCTGCCCCCTGTTCTTCCTCTTTTTCCTCGTCCTCTTTTTCTCCTTCTTCTCCTTCTTCTTCTGCTTCTTCTTTGCCTGTGTTTTCTTCCACTCCTCCCTCTCCTGCACGTCCACCTTCTCCCCTCCACCTCCTCCTCCCGTGTCCTCCTCTTCCTGTACCTCCAAGTCCTCTGCAGTTACCACGGACACCAGCATCTCCACAGCAACCTTTACCGCCTCCTCCCTGAGCATGGTCTTCAGGACACCCTGCAATCCCTCCCTCTCCTGCATCACCAGACTGCCCTCCCTCCACAACATTGTCACTATCCCCACTTCCACTCAGCCACCCCAAGGGGGGGCTTTTGCCATCTGTGCCCTGAGTCTTCCTGGGGAACTGGGCACGGCTTCCACTCACCCGTCTCTGGATGTCCAGCTGGTATGTGAAGTCCTTGTAGGTCAGAGGTATCCAGGTCTGTGGGGGTCTCCATCTGATGCGGCAGTGTGATGTGTTGCAGTACACGGTGACATTGTCCGGCGGGCTCAGTCGCTCTGGAAGGAGACCCCAGGTCACACACGTGAATCCTGGTGCTGTCAGACCTCCTCCCGTCAGCCCAGCAGGTGACAGCTCAGGGGACGCTGTGCTCGTCAGTGGCTGCATCATGGATGAGCTCCTGGTGAATGAGCTGTAGGAGGTGGGGCCTGGCTGGAGGAGCTCACTGGGGTGTGACCTGGAAGGGGGAGTTCTTGTCCCAGATCCTCCCTTCTCTCTCTGCTTCCTGGTCACCATGATGTGAGCATCTTTCCTCCTCCACTCCTGTCCACCATGATGCTCCTGCCTTGGAGCAGCTGACTATGGACTGAACCCTCTGAGACCATTGGAGCAGCCGACCATGGACTGAACCCCCTGAGAGCACTGGAGCAGCCGACCATGGACTGAACCCCCTGAGCCCATTGGAGCAGCTGACCGTGGACTGAACTCCCTGAGAGCACTGGAGCAGCCGACCATCGAGTGCATCCCCCAAACCATGAGCCAAGTCAGTCCCCTCCTCCTTTTGCTTGGGCATGTCTCCTATTGTGTCCCGGTAACAGGAACGTGATTCCCGTAAGAGAGGGATGTGGGGCAGCACAGGCAATGACGCAGGCATACGGGACCATCTTGCCTCCCCATAAGAAAGCATGAGAAAGAGCGGGGAAGGGAAAAGGGAAGGAGAGAAAGACGGAGGCCTTGACTGCCTGGTGACTGTCCTTCCTCAGCTGCCATGTGCCACCCCACCCCTTTCTACCCGCGGCGTGGAGAATCCCAGACTTCCAGGCCAGTTCCACGCGCCCAGCTGGTCCTCCTCACCTATTTCCTTTGCGGTCCAAATGGAATCAAAGTATTGTATGGGGGCCGCCAGGCTGGTTCCGTTCAGCAGGAAGTAGTTCCGGAAGCCCAGGGCCGACAGGTCCCGCAGGTGGCAGCCGGTGTGGGTCCCCGAGTCCGGACTGTACAGGGGACATTCCTGCTCCGTCTGCGTCCTGCGAGACCCCAAAGTTCTGCCATGAATAGAAGAGTCCGGTTCCCCGCCCGCCTCCCAGGGGCACCGCGCGCACAGGGCCACGCCCACTTGGTGTTCTCGATGAACAGGAAGTACTGGACGTCTCCGGGCGCCGCGGGACCCCGGGCCCACGTGCAGTTCAGGGAGCCGGCGTCGTAGATGAAGCAGGAGAAGTTGCGGGCGGCCGTGCCCTCGTGCCCTGTAGAGGCAAAACCCCGTGGGGCTCAGCGCGGGCGCCTGGAGGCCCCGCCCGAGATGCGGCCCTGCACACGCCTCCCGGCACGCTCGCCTACCTGGGTTGGGGTACAGCAGCTCCTCCCGGACGGGCCTGCCCCGCACGGTGGCATGGACCTCGAAGGTGACCCCTCCGTGCAGCGGGGCATAGTTGAAGGTGCACGCGCACGCCTTCCCCCAGGGCTGCAACACGGCAGTCACACAGCCGATCAGCAAACCCTGAGGTTCCCTGCCACTCTCCGGGATCCGTTCCCACCCGGACCCCCCGCCTGCCTCCCTCTGTGATTCCACCCCGTTTTCGTCCTCCGTGCCCCTCACAGGGGTCCCCACAAACCCACTTTGGGGGCAAACACAATATGGGCGTTGTGGCTGCCCTTGGGCAGAATCTCGGGGGATTTCTGGCTGTGGCTCTCGCCTGTTGTCAGCCCAGCACTCTGGGAGGCTGAGGCAGGAGGATCCCAGGTTCCACCTCAGTGTGGGCAACTGAGTGACTGGGAGAAGCCCTGTCTCAAAGGAAACAATGAAAAGAGGCGGTGGGGAGCTAAGTCCACCGGAAGATGCCCATTCAGTCCTGAGGAAAAGAGGGAAAGGGAGGACATCGTGTCCGCTGATCCGTGCACACCCATGCTTACAGCAGCAGAACTCACGGTACCTAAGTCTTGGAAATGGCCTTTACGACCATTCGTACAAAGAAAATGTGATGGGCCGGGGATTTAGCTCAGTGGTGCCGCCGCCTGCCTCGCAAGCGCAAGGTCCCGAGTTCGATCCCCGGAACCCAAAAAAAAAAAAAAAGTGGTGTCTGCACGAATGGAGTACTATGCAGGCATGAAAAGGGACACATCGGACTCGCTTGGGAAATGGATGCACATGCACGCCTTTGATGCGTCTCTGGTCCTGCGCTCTCGCCCTGCGTGAGGTCGGTGTGTGGGGCAGTCGCTGAGTGGGACCACGCCCACCTTGATTTCAATGGGTCCCTTCTCCTTGTGAAGCATGAAACACCTGGCGTCGGTGGCGTTTTCCCGGCAGTCCCAAGTCAGCCTCCGCGACTTCGGGTTGAACGTCACGCTGAGGCGCGGGGCTGGCTCCACCTCTGCAAAGCAGTCGCGAGGCTCGGAGCCGACCCTGCCCCTTCCCGGTCTCCCGCACACGCATCACCACGCTCCCACGCACACACTGTCTCGTGCACAGGCGGACACGCGCACGCACACACGCACAGCGGCTCACAACTCCCCGCCCCACGAGGCCTCACTCCGACGACGCTGTGACCCGCTGCTCCTCCACCTGACCTGGGGACTCACCCTGCTTCGACCTCCTCCCTCCCTGCTGGGGAACACCCGGCTGCTTCCCCCAGCACTGCTCCACCTGCAGCGTTGTCCTGAGAAGCCACCCCAGGAGGAAAATAACCTTCGCTGAGTGAGCAAGACCCCGCTTCCAAATACCAGGCTTTAGAAAAGGACTGGGCTGTGCAAAGGCCCTGGGGCCGATCCTCACTACAGAAAAGCAAAACAAAAAGGCATCGAAGGCAAGGACTTCGTGCAGTTGAACAAGTGTCCTGTCGCCAAACGCTTTTTAAAAATTTTCTTCTCAGCCCCGCGGATGGAACCCATGTCCCCTGCACGGAGCTCTGTCTCCAGCCTTTTAAAATTATTGTTCTGAGACAGGGTCTCGCTCAGCCCCTGTACCCCAACATGTCACGGGCCCATCCACGGCTGCACCCACAGACGGGCACAACGGCCCGGACCCGGATGCCTGCCCAGGCCACCGGTCCTGAGCACGGGACCACGCAGGGTCACTGCGCATGCAAACCCGGGCTCATGGCCACCGGCCACACAGGCGGAGGCCCAGGCAGCGCCACGGAGGGGACCCACGGGGAGACGACGGCGGGGGCAGCGGAGCGCAGACGGGGCCGACCGCGCCCACACTTACCCGCGAGCTCGGGGGCCAGGGCTGCGGCGGGGTCCAGACACAGGGTCAGCAGGAGGACGAGGGCGGCGGGGAGGAAGCGGCCAGGGCTGCCCGCGGGCCGGGGTCCTGGGGACAGAGCACGGGTAAGCGCCACACACAGGGCGTGCGCGGTGGGGACCAGGACAGCCCTGCGTCTGCACGCGGGGACCGGGACGTGGGCGTCTCGGGGCCGCTGCTGCCTCCCGTGGCTTCACCCTCCCGCAGCGACCACCACGCAGGTGGGAGGCGGGACAGCAGTGACCGCTCAGGCCCACTGGACAGCTCTGTCCTTTCTGGTGGCAGTGGGGCCGGAAGCCAGCGCCTCCCGCGGTTGGGCGCCGAATTCTCCAATCCTCGCCTGCGCTCCACCCCTAGCCCTGGCTTCTTATCACTCTAGATTCCAGCTCTTCCAAGTGTTTCTCTTTTTCCACAAGGCAAAGTAGAAAGCACAGCCTAGGTTTCAAATTGCACAGGCCAAGCGTGATGGCGCCCCAGCCCACCCTGGGGAACGGGGCAAATGAGACCCCGATACAGGGATGTGGACGGAGAGGGGGCAGGAGGACGCTCCAGACAGCAAAGCAACCACCCCCGCGCGGCTCCGCCCTGCAGGCCCCGCGCGGTCCTGAGTCCTCCGGACCACAGACCGCCCCCGCCCACAGGGCAGCCGGGCCCCGACTTTCAGAGTCTTTCCTGAGTTCTGCAACGCTGAAGAGCAAGAGGAAGGAAGGGGGCAAAGGGGCTCTGTGCACCCCGACTCCCCAGGAGCGGGGCAGCTGCTGTTTCCCAGAAGCGCGGACTCGGAGGAAAGCGACAGCAAAGCGCCTGGTGGACAGGGTTGGGGCCCAGGAACCGAGGGGCTGCACGCGGAAGCCGTCCCCCCTCCCCGGAGCTACTGGGGTTCGGCTCCCCTCCCCGATTCCCGGCAGAGCGGGGTGCAGCGGTAGCCCAGCACGACCACGGCGGTAGGAGCCGTGAAGCAGGGCGGATCGCTGTACGGAAATTTGTCATCGACCGACAGTTCCTCAATCGCCTTCCTCCTGCCGGCCCAGAGCGGCTCCTTGAATTACTGTGCATCGTGATGGGGCCAAGACGCCCAGTTCAGTTTTTCCCCCAGCACTGGGGCCTTCATGCTGAGCTACATTTTATCTTGAGACCGGGTCCGGCTAAGTCACTAAGCTGCCCGGGCTGGGCTCTGACTTGGTTTCCTCCTGTCTCGGCCTTCCGGAGTGCTGGGATCACTGGCGGGCGCCTCCACACCCGGCTGACCGTGGGCTTCTTTCCACTTGATTTAAACCCAAAACTAAACCCAGCCACGTGACCAAGAGTACCAGGAGCCGGCCGCACTGTCCCGATCATCACCAGAATAAACGGCCCTGGGGTCTTCTGGCCCCGGGCTGGGCCGGCCGGGAGCTCCCTGGGTCCCTCGCCCACTTCTCTCCTCCGAGACGACTTAGCTCCGGGCATGCTCAAAACATGGCCCAGAAAGCTGCAGACCAGGGCGGCCACACGGCCCTGCATTCTGTTCGCTTCTTTCCTCTTTCTAAACGGAGCTGGAAGCCGGGCGTGGGCCGCACCCCTGTCATCCCAGCACGCGGGAGGCTGAGGCAGGAGGATCTGCGAGTGCCAGGCCAGCCTGGGCTCCACAGTGAGCTCAAGGCCGGCCTGGGCGACAGAGTGAGGCCCTGCCTCAAAGCCGGAAACAAACACCAACTCAGCGGGGCGGGAGTGCGCAGGACCCGGGGCTGGGGTGCAGCCCGGACAGAGGCCTCGGGAGCCCTGCAGCGCTGTGCCCAGTTCGCAGCCACACGCTGCCCGTCCTAGTGCACGCCTCGGGCCTCGGCCCACCCGCAGCCCTGCACAGCGGCCCGGCTCCAGGACCCTCGGCCCAGCGCAGCCGGCCTCGGCCTCCGCTCCCAGCCCCGGGAGCCCCGATCCACTTCCGGGACCTGCGTGCGTCGCAGCCATGGGGGATTCCACGCTCTCTGGGCTCGGATCCCTACAGCTGCTGTGCTTTCAATGTGGTCTGGGGCCCAGGGCTCCTGCGCGGGGTCGCTGCCCGCACAGGGCGGGTTCTGGGAGGGGCTGGGTCTCCAATCACAACATGGCAGCCCCGTCGGAAACAGCAGCGGGCTGGTCTCCCAGGCGGGACCAGTTATCGCGAGACTGGGAGAGTTGCAGGGAGGTCAGATCTGTTATCGCGAGAGTAGAGCAGTTATAAGCGGAGCAGATCAACCATCGCGAGACCGGGACAGTTACCTGGCGATCAATTATTATTGTGAGAGTAGAACAGTTATAAGAGGAGCAGATTCGCTATCGCGAGACTTGAGTAGTTACCGTGCGATCAGATTAGTTATCGCGAGATTATGTTGGTACTAAGTGAGAATCCCGCAGCGGGCTCCCTCCTTTTTTTCTGAGATCGCTCTGCTGCGTGTGGCTCGGCGCTGGGAGTCGCCTGTGGTTGACGTTACGTGCAGAGCGAGCCCGAGCCACGTAGGGCCTCCCCGCCTTCCCAGCTGTGACCCGGAGCAAAATCTTACTCTGCGAAGCCCTTGGTGGTGTCCGTGACTGAGCCCTGGGCCTTTGCACGGCACCGCACCCCAGCCCTGTATTTTCCTTTTACGTTTTAAAAACCTCATCTTTATTGGGAGGCCAGGTGTTTCACCAAGTCGCCGCGTTCGCCAGGCCGGCCTCGAACTTGTGACCCTCCTGCCTCAGCCTCCCAGGATGGTGGGGTCCCAGACGTGCGCCACCGCAGACACGTTACTGTGGCAACAGGAAACTGGGCGACCAGCTGCCTAGGCAGCTCCCCTCCTGCCTGGCCCCTCCCGCCGTAGGCTCCAGCCGGAGCCGAAGCTGAAGGGTCAGCGACAGCGGCAGAAGCAGCAGGGCGCCCCTGGGCCCCGCGGCTCCCCACGGCCCGGCCTGCAGGCGGGCTCTGCTCACCTCGCGGCATCGGGCCTGCTGCTCCCTGCGTGGCTTCCAGCGTCCCCGGCATCTGACCGACTCCTGGAGCTCAGGACTGCAGCCAGCCCAGCGGAGCGAGCCCTCCCTCAGCCACGACCTTCCCTTTTCTCCAGTTCCCTCCCCTCTCGAGCTTCCTCTTGGGAAATGCAGACGCCCGGCCAGTCATTGGCTCTCGCTGTCCCTCAGGCTGTCAGTGGCCACGCACACCCCTCTGTCGTGCGGGGCGAGGCCGACCTAGCTGGCTGTTAGCCATAGGCACCCAGGCGAGGCCTTCCGGGGACACCGGGCCTCTGTGTGACATACTAGCTGCTGGAGCGCCTGCCCTCATTTGTGGTCTCCGGAAGCTGAGGGGCAGAAGGTGCCCCAGACAGGAGGGGACGTCCGTGGACAAGGCCAGGGACCAGGCATGAGCACATGAAACAGGAGGGGACGTCCGTGGACAAGGCCAGGGACCAGCCATGAGCACATGAAGATGCTGGTGCCTCCCCAGATGTGGAGAAACAGGAGCAGCTGGTGCAGAGGTGACTGAAAATCCCCCCCCCCCCAAATGACAGACCCGCGTGTGATTTTGCAAGGACACAAACATGTTTCAGGAAAGCACACTCACAGCAGGTGACAGACCCGCCGTTCACATAAAAGTCACCAAATCCTGGCAGAGTACTGAGGCCTTCTCCCACACCGTGAAGACGCCAACTGTGGCTAAAAATCAGACACTCGGGCGCGGTGGGGCACGCCTGTCATCCCAGCCCTCGGAGAGGCTGAGGCGGGAGGATCTCAGGTTCCAGCCCTGCCTGGGCGACTTTGCCACGTAGCCAGATCTTGTCTCAAGATGAAAAGCAAACATTAGAAGAAGAGGGCTGGAGATGTCACTCAGCAGGAAAAGCCCCGAGTTCAGTTTCCCTCTCTCTCCTCTCCTCTCCTCTGCCCAGTGATGCCCCTGAGCACTGATTTCCTGGCTGCCAGAGCCCGGCCAGCAGGGTTTAACCTGTGGCTCCAGCAGGGAGCCAGGGGACACTGCCGCGTGCAGGAGGGGCCAGGACGCAGGGTCTGGATGACCTGAGGCTGCACGGAGGGAGGGACAGTGATGACCGGAACGGAGCCTGAACGAGGGGGTGTGCCGGAAAAACTGAGTGCTTTTCTCTGTGACATTCATTGCAGCAGACGCATGGCCACGAATGCCCTCAGAATCCTCCCCGGCTGTGCACAGCCTCCTCCCAGAGTCCTGGCCGCATCCCAAAGCAGCTCTGGGGTCCTCTTTCCTGAGGGCTTCACCAGGTGTGATCACAAACACGGTGACTGCTCTGCCGAGTGCCATCCAGCGGAAAGGCAGCTCGTAAACACACGGCGCTGTGTCCTCCTCCACCCGAGTCACCGCAGCTGGCACCGGGCGACTCCCAGCTCCTCCCCAAGGTCAGGATGACCGGGAAAGGTCACCGTTCTGAGTCCACTTGGGACATCGAGGCAGCCGGGATGGCGCAGCTAAAGACCCCCCGGAAAGAGGACTCCAGAGCTGCTGCGGACAGCGGCCAGGACGGCGGGAGGAGGGTGTGCACAGCCGGGGAGGATCCTGGGGGATTCACAGCCATGTGGCTTTGGCTGTAATACATTTTAAAAAATGTTTACACACTCTCTGACCTTTTCGGAGCAGCTCGGTCTTATCCAGTTCCCCGCCTGCCTGGGGGACCTGGCTGGAGGACTCAGGTGCCGGCTGAGGGCCTGTGAAGAGGGAGCTGCTGGGAGGCAGGGAACTGAGACTGCAGGGGCGTGGACGTGTGCGGGCCGTGGGTGGACGGTGACCGGTGTGGCCTGGCTGCTGGCCAGGGGCCTGCGGGCGGGCGGGCGGCGGGGACTGCAGGCGGGATCAGGCAGGCAGTCGCATAGCAGGTGGGCTTGTCTCTGAGCTGTGGTTCAGTGAGAAGCTGCCAAGGTTCTGTGCATGCAGAGCACAGCCTTGATCTCTCCCCCTTTCCCCTGCCTCCGTTTCCTGGTGCCTTCCCACCTGACACAGATCTCTGTCTCTCTTTCTCTCTCTCTGCTTCCTATCACCTATCTGTTCTATTGCTCTTTGTACTTTGTTTTTCTCATACAAAAGAAACCATGCCCTATTGATGCTACACAGGACTTGAGTTTATCCTTCTTCACAGCACAGTAGTACTCCACTGTGTGTAAACTGCACATTTTCTCCATCCATCCATCCGTTGATGGACACACAGGCTGCTGCCGTATTACGAGTTGTGCTGCCATAAACACGAGTGTTTGGAGACGGAGTCTCCCTGCATAGCGCAGGCTGGCTAGAACTTGCGCGGTCCTCCTGCCTCAGCCTCCCGACTGCTGGGATAGCAGCCTGCACCACTGTGTCTGGGTGTCTGTGTGACCCGCAGGGCCTGGAGCAGTGCGTACTGGTCGGGGTGGTGCTGGGTTCTGGGTGCACAGTGGTACAGCTCTGCAGCTTCGTCCTGCACGGCTGGCCTTGTGGGGACCCCCGGCTGTGGGTGCGGCTCGGCCTCTGCCCCCTGCTCCCTGGCCCGGTTTCTGTACAGATCCTGGGGCCCCCACTTTCTCCCCATGGACCCCGTTCCTCTGTCTCAGAACCCAGTCCCGGAAACCTCCCTGCGCCCTGAGCTGAGGTGACACAGACTTGCCCAGCGGGTGGCTGAGGCAGGAGGGTCTCCCGGGAGCCCATGGCTCCCGGGCTCCGAGCGGACTGGGGCAGCGCAGGCCTGGGGTCCTCCCCTAGGCCGGGAATCCCGGTCCCGATTCTGCGGTCGGCCCGGGCTTGGCGGGGCTTCCCGCCCTGACCCCGGGGGTGGGCCCGAGCTCTAGGCTTCCTTTTCGCAGGCAGAAGTGGGCGCGGGCTGCCCGGGGTTTCCCGGGCCTCGGTCAGGACCCCAAGTTCCCCAGGTCTCCCACGCTGAGGGGAATCCTAGGTCCAGGGGGAGGCAGGGGCGCAGGCGCAGGTGCCTGCAAGGGAAAGGTTGTTCAGCAGCACTGTGAGGCTGAGGCAGGAGGGTCTCACCTTGGAGCCCAGCCCAGGTGACTTGGCACAGCGAGACGCTGCCTGGAAACAGATGGACATGTGGATTAGCTGGGTGGTGCTGGGGTGTCCTCAAGTTTGGGGTTCGCTGCCCCGGCCCCAAGCTCGGGGACACTCGGATCAGGAGGTGGAGCCCCGGGGCGATGCTGCTCGGACCCCACGGTCCCTGCCAGGACACGGTGCCGCCTCTGCCTGCTGCCTGTCGGCCATGTCTCTGTCCGTCGGTATCATCTGCCCTCGCCTGTCAGTCTGTCCCCCTGCCGTCCATCCCTCTGTTCATCTGTCAGGGCCTCCACCCATCTCCTATTGCTCTCCCTCTGCTGTTTGTCTTCTCCTATCTGTGCATCCGGCTGCTCATCGCTCACTATAAGAGAGACCCTGTGATACTGAAGCTTGTGTGTCTGATTTATTTCACTTAGCATTAGGGTCTCGAGCTGCGTCCATCTTCCTGCACATGACTCACGCTTATCCTTCTTCACGGCAGCATAGTATTCCGTGGAATGTCAGCACCACGTTCTTTATGCGTTCACCTGTCGACAGAGGATGCTTCCCAGGTTTACCTGTCGTGAGTTGTGCTGCCATAAAAGCTTTGTGTGGCCCATGGCCAAGTGGGTTCATGTCTAACCCAGTCTGACAATGGGGCCGCTGTCCTCAGGCAGGCGGCGGAGAGGGGACGCTGTGCATGTGTGTCAGGATGTTGCTGTGTAGCCCAGCCCGGCCTCAAAGCCAAGATGCTCCTGCCTCAGCCGGAAAGGCTGAGAAAGGCAGGAAGGAAAAAGAAAAGCAGCGGCACCTTTTGGGACACAGGATCCGCAGCTGCGTCTGGTTACCCGGGGCCCGGGGTTCCCCAGCTGGGCAGGAAGTGGACTCCAGAAAGCCGGATGCCTTTAACCCTGGACGCCCGGGAGCCCCAGGAACCCCGAGCTGCTCTGTCCCCCCAGACCCCGCCCGCTCCCAGCGCTGCAGGGCGCCCCGAACCCCGACACACAGGACAGGCTGGGTCTTAGACTGCCGCTTCCTTCTGCCCCCTGAACCGGAAGTCTGCGCTCTGCGGGGCTTCCCTCTGCTCTTCCCGGCCAGCGACCCCTGCAGTGTCCCGGGTGCAGCGTCAGGGTTCGGGGTGCGCCCAGCCGGGGAGGCGGGGAAGTGTGCAGGAAACCAGTGCGAAGAGGCGCTCCGGGAGGCCGAGGCGGGAGGGTCCCCAGTTGGCGTTCAGCCCGGGCAGCCCAGTGACTCAGCGAGGCCCCGCCCGAGACGTGAGAAGCGGCTGGGGGCGGAGGTCCGCGCGTCGGGTCGGGGTCGCAGGGGCTGGAGCAGGCCCGGGGCGCTGCCTGCTGCCAGAGCTCTCGGGACGCAGCCGGTGGCGTCCGCCGCCCGCCCGGCCCAGCCTGGGTCTCGGACTCGGACGCCAGGGGGCGCCCGCTCCTTGCAGCGGGGCCGGGCGCCGAGGCGAACGCGGGAATCCCAGGAATGCGGCCCCTCCCCTCCGCTCCTCCCGGCAGCCGAGCTTGGAATTCGGGGTCGCGACCCGGGGCCCCTGCACCGTCCCTGGGGGAAGCGGGGTTTGCGAGGGCGGAGAGACCCGGGCCGGGCCCCTGCGGGACGGGACGCTCAGGGCCGGGCGCCCGGTGACCGCCTCGGGGTGCGCAACCTGAGCCACCTTCCGGGGCGCCCCTGGGGTCGCTGGAGCCCGCCCCGCCCCGCCCCGCATCACCCCCGGCGCGCCGAGTCCCCTTCCGGGGCGCAGCCGGGCTCCCGCAGGGTTGGGGCGGGGTTTACGGCCGGCAGAGCCCGCTCGGCAGCTGCTGTTTCCTCCGTTTCCTCCGCCGCAGCCCCGGCCTGGATCCCCCACCATCCGCTCGGCGCCGCCCCGGGCTGCGGGCCTCGGGCCTCAGGCCTCGGGCGGGAAGGGGGTGCGGGCGGCTTCGGGCTGTGCTTTGAGTCTGAGACGCGGCCCACGCTGCAGTCCAGGCTGCGGGACCCTCCCGCCCCAGCCTCCCTGTGCGGGGCTCCCGGGCGCGCGCGCCAACCCCACCTGCTGCTGTAAGGGCTTCTGGGAAGCCGTGTGCCCCCCGCCCCGAGCGAGCGCTCGCCCCAGCGCCCCCAGGTCACCCCGAGTTCCCATCACTCCGGAGCCGGTGCACCCGGATTCCACTCGCCACAGCGGGGGCTCCTCAAGCTTTCAGTCTCCGGGGACCCTGCCCAGCCCAAGCTGGAAAGACCCCGTCATCCCAGTTCAGCCCACGTTCATCACTCGTGGGGCGTGGTGGCGCCTGGCACCCCAGCACTCTGGGAGGCTGAGACAGGAGGATGGCAAGTTCAGGCCCAGCCCGGGCCGCTGAGCACCGTTAGGGAGACCTTGAATCCACATTAAAAAAACAAAAAACAAACTTTAAAAACGGGGCTGTCGGGCTGGAGCTCAACGCCAAGGGCCTGGGCTCAATTCTCAGTACCAGCAGAAAATCAGTGAGTCGATAGACAGCTGATGGCTAGGTAGGCAATAGAGAGAAATGTAGACAAGTCAGTCAATGAATAGCTCAGCTGAGGAGCCACCCCGGATGCTTGCGACTGATGAAGGAAATGCGGTATAGTTGCAGAGTGGAGTATTACGCAGCCACGAAGGAGGAAATCCTGCCCCGGGCAGCGGAACAGATGGAGACCGTCCTGGGAAGTGGAGCGAGCCAGGCACGTTTTCTCCTAGAGGAGAAACCTCAAAAATAAGAGTAGGAACGCCTGAACTTGAGGGGGTCCTCCTGCCTCAGCCTCCCAAATGCTGGGGTCACAGGTGTGTACCATGGCACCTAGTGGGGAAAGGGTTCTGGACCCGAGGCCTGCCGTGGGGAAGTGCATGCCTGTGTCTGTGACCCCCTCGGGGGATACTGAGGCAGGGACGGACTTGGGCTCTGGGCCTCTCCGGCTGCTTTCATTACGCAATGTCGTGTGCAGGGCACCAGGCGCGGGTGGGTGGTGACATCTTGATTTCCTGCTCCCAGCTGGTTGCTGGGCACGGTGCTTCCCAGTCCTACGCATAGTGCGGGCAGTGCAGGAGCCCGCCCGCCTTTGTCCTGGCTGCGTAGTATTCCACCCGTGTGTCTTCTCCATCTGCCCCTGGCCACTGACGCTGTTTCCAGTTCTTGGCTGCCGCGATAAACACGGGAGTTGGGGCGACTCCGCAGCACACTCCCCGCTCCCAGGCGGCCGCAAGAGGAACTGAGACCCCCGTGACGGGGGTGACGTCCGGCCCCCAGAATGTCACCGCGTGCGGCCTCGGGAAATCCCCTCTGCGAGCTCCCGCCTGACCAAACTGTCTTCCTTCTCCGGCTCCGGAAAATAACTTTTCCCTGTACCAGGGAGGAAAACCTACTTTTTGGGGCAAAGAAAAGGTTTTTTTTGGCACTGGGGATCGAACTCGGAACCTTGTGCTTGCAAGGCAGGCGCCAGAACCACGGAGCTAAATCCCCAGCCCAAGAAAAGATTTTATTGTGGTTCAGTGTCTGCCGCACAGAAGTCACCGGAATCTCGACCTTTTGGGGTGCAGTTCCGGGGTGTCCCGGGCTTCCATCAGATGCCTTGGAACTATCCCCGGGCTCTGACCCCAGCCCGGGCACCCGCCTTGGGCTCTGTGTCCCTGTGAATTTGAGGGCTCTGGGGACCCTGTAGGAGTCACCGTTTCACATCTGGCCTCTCACTCAGCATCCACCCAAGTTGTGCCAGGCCCCGGATGCACACTTCTCTTCATGGCTGGGTAATATTCCATTCCCTGGCTGCACCGAGCTCCCAGTACCTGAAGAAATTCCCCGGGTGGCAGCAGCTTGTTCACGAGCAGCAAACACAGGCGTGGGTGCCCCAGTCTTTGGGTCCTTTTCGCATTCTTTTGGGGCTGTTCTTAGAAGTGGAATTGCTACGCGATACAGCCATTCAACCTTTAACTTTTTTGAGGAGCTGCCGTACGGCTTTCTCAGGGGCTGCCTGGAGCCTCAGGAGATGGCAGAGGCAGGAGGGTCTTTTTATATTAATGAGCTCAGGCCGCCCTAGCAAAGCCCCCGCCCTGTCCCTGAGACAGTGGACGCCTCCCATCCCGTCCCAGAGCTGCAGGCCCAGGCCCAGTGTGGGCAGTGCCTGCTCCTCCGAGGCCTGGCTCCTGGTCTCCCTGTGTCCTCACACGCGCGTCCCTCTGTGTGTGTCCGCATCTTCCCGTCCTCTTCGCAGGAGGACCCAGCCCGGTGGGGTCCGGGCCACCCTGAGGACTCAGTTTACCTTCACAGCTCCTAAAGACCCTGTCTCAAAATGCAGCTGCAGCCTGAGGTCCTGGGGGTCAGAGAGTCAATCAATGAACACCGAGTCTCCACACAGGCTTCTCAGGTCCTGGCTGGAGGGGGCGTCCATGTCCCTGTTCCCATGGGAACATGTCCCCCAGCCCCTCCGCTGCCTCCAGCTGTCCCCGTGTCGTCCTGGAGCTTCCCGAGTGTCCCTCTGGGCCGGCCTGGCCGGGCCTCCAGCTCATTTTGAGCAGGGGCTCCCTGAAGGTCCGAGGCCCTCCTGCCTCAGCGTCCAGTGCTGGGAACAGCAGCCGCGGCTCCCCGCTCCACCGAGCCGGCCCAACCTCTTCTCCTTGGTGAGTATCGCAGTGTAGAATCAGCCATGACGGCTTCCTGCCCACGGATCACTTCCCCAGTCCCCTGGGCGCCTCCCCCGGGGGCGACCTCGCTGTCAGTCAGGAGCCTTGGGTGCGGCGCGGACATGGGGACCCACGTGTGGGCTCGGGCAGCCGCTGCCATCCTGCTGCAGCTGCTGCTGGGGGACCCGACGGCCCCAGAGGACACAGGAGCCGGTAAGGGGACCCGGGACCCGGGCTGTGCCTGCTCCCGCCTCTTTCTGTTCCCGGGAGCGCCTCCTGCCTCAGCCTCCAGAGGAGCCAGGGTGCCCGGAAGTGACTCATTTTTTGGGTACCGGGGATCGAACTCGGGATTTTGTGCTGCAGCATCAGGGTGGGTTCTGCCGGGAGCAGGTTCCCCGCATCGCCTGGCCCTGCCTCCCAGCAGCACGGACCTCCCGGGCCCACAGCCTGGGCATCGTCCCCAGCTCAGGAGGCTGAGGCAGGACAGTGCAAATCGCAGCAGGCACCCTGTTCCCGGCGCGTTTCCTTGGCAGGGAGGCCAGGCCAGGTGGAAGCGGGTCCCGAGCCCGCCTTCTCCTCTTGGACGCCCAGCCTGGAGCTGGGTTCGGGAGGCTGCGGTGGGGGAGACACCGCCCCGTCTACCCCCGAGGACACTGCGGGTCTGTGGAGCCCCGACGGAGCCGGGGCGCCTGGGACAGCTGGGACAGAGCCGCGCCCGCCCACCCAGGGGACTCCAGGGAGAGGGCAAAACTGCGGGGAAAGCCAGGCAGGGCCTCACCGAGCCACTGAGCTGCCCTGGCTGGGCTTCGATGGCAGATCCTCCTGCCTCAGCCTCCCGAGTGCTGGGTCGACAGGCGTGCGTCCTGCACCAGCCTCCTTTCTGTTATTCCGGACGGGAAGGTTGAAGCTGGTGATCTGTGCCCCTCGGTTTGCCCTGTCCGGGAGCCCCGGCCAGGCATGAGACAGAACTGAGTACCCTGCCTCCTCGCGGGCTCCTAGCCAACAAGAAAACCCCAGCAGTGGTTTTAATAGCATCGCATGAGGGCTTCTGTCAGGACCCCAGAGCTGATCTGGAAGCCCCAGAACCCAGAGTGGCCCCTCAGCCACTTCCTGTGCCCAGACTCTGCCTCCGCCCGCCCCTGCTTCCCCCCCAGGCGGCTCAGCCACACTTCTGCTTCCTCAGTGGAACATGGGGCATCTGCCGGCCGGGGTGACGCATTTCTCCTGGGGAAGCCCGGGGCGGGACGGACCCAGGCCTAGGACTGGCCTGGCCAGGCTTGGCCGGCCACACAGGAAGCAGCCCCGTGCCTTGTAACAAAGCCCTCTTAGAAAAAAGCATTTCAGCAGTAAATGTGCTTCTCACGCTTGGGGCAGGGCTGTTCATAGATCCTTCTGGGACCAGAACCAGGGATGGTCTTGTGGCGTGCGTGACTCCTTTACAACATCTGTCCATTCATTCGGCTACTATCAGCAGCTCCTCTCTATTCATTGATCTACCCATGCACATATCAATCCACTGATCCATCCATCCACCCACTAACCCAACCACCCATCCATCCAATCATCCATTCATCCATCCATCCACCCATCCACCCATCTGTCTATCCATCCACCCATCTGTCCACGTACCCATCCACCCATCCACCCACCCATCCATCCATCCACCCACCCATCCATCCATCCACCCACCCATCCACCCATCCATCCATCC